TGTGTTAATACTGTTTGTTATAAACTTAGTTTTTATTATTATTATTTCATTTTAATTTCTTTATTTTTCTATTTATATTTCCTTTGTTACTTGTGTTATGTATTGAGGGTCCATAATGATCAGCTCTGGCTGGATGGACCACCCTCGTAAAATATTGTTGAAATAAATAAATAAACAATAAGCCAATGCAGTCGGTATACTGTGGGAGCGTTTATTATCTCCATTCTCATTACCAACTGCTAGACATATTCCCGATTTATCAGTATCTATCTTGCATTGTTTAGCACTAGTTTAGTTACATCAGGGAACAGTGAAATTTCATTGTTCCCTAGTTACACTTACAATTATATTCCGAATTGTTTATTGAACTCCTCCCACTATATAGCTGAAGTATGTGTGGGCCTAATTTTTGTAGATGTTTCTTGTTACTTGATAAAGACCAAAGGATAAGTAACAAAAAAAGATAATCAGAAACAAACACCATTGCATGTTTAGAAACACTTTATTGGAGAAAACCAATATTTCGACCACCAGCCCCAGCAGCCTAAGAATCGCTTCGCTCGAAAGACGCACCCTATCAAAAATTCTGCCTAAATCTAACAATTTTGACACTTTCAAGGAATTTAGCACTGTATAGAATCAGCTACCCTGAAGTAATAATATTGATTTTTTTTTGCATTATAAAGAAGCTACGACATTATGCGGTAAGGGTCTACAAATGTTGTACTTTCAATAGTAGTTGAATGTAAACCAATAATTTGTATAATCCAACATTCATTCAATCAATCAATCAATCAATCAATCAATCAACGGCCAATAACATTTGGCTGTGCCTGACCCGGTCTACTTAGGGTGCAATTTGGCACTGGTTCCTTTTGTTCAGTACATTCTTCGTGACAGCTTGCAGTGCTATTCAGATAGTTGGAAGAATTTTACCTGGTTTTCTGATAGACATTGAAGTTGAAAGTGGTGCGATAAAAACGATGGCTATCAGCAGCTACCAAGAACATATAAGCTACCAATCTTATATACTGAAATGTAGAAATCTACATAATCTCAAGTTTGCTGAGCCGACTGGTAAAGCTGTTTCGGCAAACATTAGCTCGCCAGATATTCGGATTCGTTTAATAATTTCAAATTATTGTGATATATAAGCGGAGCCCCCTTCTCATAAACATATAAGCATGATGCTCTGATAAGCTAAGGCAGTGTCCATCAAAACATCAATTTTTTTCTGATTAGTTTTAGGATAGGTTATGAATTAGGCGTCTTTTTTTCTTGTTCGTATTCTTTAAGCGCTTTGAGACTATTCTTAATTGCCCAAGGCGCTATACAATTCGATTTCCATTAGAAAAAAAAAAACCTGCTGTATGATAGTCATGATGTGCCTATATATGGTCATAATGTGATGTCATCATGACCATATTAATGCATGTCACATGCTTTTGTCAAATATAATTTGATAGCCTGGAAATAATTAAACCTCATAGTGAAAGCAAAGTACCGAAAAACTTGAGCACATTGACACCTTGCTCATAAATATATAGTTACAGTATTATAATGAATATGCATAAGCACCACCGATTATTATTGTTTTTATCTGTTTATATAATTATTAAGTTATTCAGTCATTCGTTTATTCATTAGTAAATATTTATTTTTCTTTTATGTTTTGTTTTTATCTTAATATCTTAGTAATTTATTTTAAGTACTTTAGTGTTTTCTTTTGAGAATGTAGCTTTTGTAGCCTTGCTATATATTTTTATATTTCTGTGCTTTGTATATTTTTTTAATATGGATGCACTATACCACTACGTGTGTGCCACCGATGCAAAGGTGCAATCAAACTGCTTTGATTTGGAATTGCTACTATTGAATATTCATGAGCTTATTGTAAATGTTGACTTATAGTATGGGCTTATTTTCATTCATCATTTCTCAAAATGTTGGACGTTCTGAAAGCTCTTCACCTAGTTTACCAACACTCCTTTTTATAGATCTTTTTGTTCTATTCAAACAGATAGTAGATGAATGTGAAATATAATAAATATGCATGGGCATGATATAAGATGGTTGCTTCGATGACTTCGATGTTAAAGAAAAAAAATATTTCATTGTCATACACTGTAAAAGGGTGGCGCTCTTCACTTTTTTATTGCTTTGAAACAGAAGTGTAATACACAAGCTGGCTATAAGGCATGTTACTACGTTTAGCATGGCTTATTTTTTTGCGGTGATGATATCATATCGGTTAAAAAAAGTCTTCTTATCGTTCATAATCAATGTAAATAAGATAAGATAAGATAAATTTTATTGTCATATTCCAAACAAGTAAACTATGAAATTACAATCATGTTGCTTGAAAAAAGGGGGAAAATACTAACTACAAAGATAGGCCTATTATAGCCTATTATTAGTAAATACATAAAATACATTTAAAATTGGTTACACATAGATACATAAAAAATAAATACGTAAAAGTTCTATAGCACCTTTTAATTATTTTGCACTATGTAAATGGATCCTAAAGAGCTCTATAAATCCCTAAATGATATCGTACAGTATTGGGTCCACAATTTTTTTTTTATTCTATTAAATTTCTTGTCTTACAACAGTGAGATAAACATCTTACTGCTAATCATTAGGTACCTTATCAATAATACCTTTCACATAGACACAGACAACTTTCACTGTAAATCATTTTAACTGGCACTATGTTAAATTCCAATATTTTACCTAATGTTAGAATGTTTTATATTTGTTTTTATATAGGCCTATGCTTTATGCAAAGATGTTTAGAATTTAGATGTTTACTGTTCAGGAAGACATTTTGTAGTCAATCAATCAATCTTTATTTCACTCGTTTTTTTAAATAACAAATGAAGAAATCAAGGAGGCAAGCCTGTAAACTGATTCCGGTAACTAACTTCAAAAATTGGCTCTAAGATTACAATAATATCTTCATCATAATATTAATAATAATAATAATAATAATAATAATAATAATAATAATAATAATAATAATAATAATAATAATCTTGAAGATGACATCATGAAGGAGTCGAAACGTCGATCCCTCCCCAGAAGTCGAGAGAAAGATAGGCTAGGCCTATAGGTTTTTGTATTTGAGTATTAAAGATTGTTTTAAGTGACGATTAACCATGGATATTGAGATTAAATTTCTAATGCAAGAACGACAATCCTCAAATAATGAACCTAGTAGGGGATGTTTTGCCTTAATAGTAATGAACATAGTATGTTTTAGTCTTAAATTCAAAATAAATGGGGATAAAAATAAACTACATGAAAATTTTGAGTCTACCAGTGCCATTACAGATATTAATATGATTGTACAATATGACAGATAAAAAACTATCAGAGTGATTAGTTCTTTCTTGGTTTGATGCTGGGATGCTCGAAGCGATGTCTTGCTGTGTTAGTAACTTACCTGGACGTGGTTCAGTCACATTTGTACAATAAACATAAATAAAAACAACATTTTTATTCTGTATCGGCCTAAGTGTTAGTTCAATTTGCATATACATATTCATAAATGTTTTAAATGATGCTGTATATATGATAAACTGATGTTGTCAACATTTTTGCTGGATATATGATTTAATGTTGTCAGATTATCGGCATCAACAGTGACCTAGCATGGTAATGGAAATGCCTACCGTAAGTTCATTTATGGAATACATGCTGTGGTATTGCAATTCTATAGGATAGGCCTACGATAATCATTAAACCTTGTTTTCAATATAAAGTCTAGCTATATTTTCTATACACTATTAATATTGCATATATCTATTAAATATTAGCTTTGTTGCCAAGAAAAAGAAAAGATTAATATCTAACCCTGTGTGTTAATACAAATGGAGGAAACATCACATTTTAACAAAAAAAAAAGGTACTACATATAGCAGTCTAATATATTATACTAATGGTTTCAAGTCACGTTAGTTCTTACTATGATTGATGTTTGGATGCTCGAAACCACGATGGCGTTTATCAAATCAGCACGTTTTAAGGGGGGGGGGGGGGGTAAACGTCGAAAGACTCCAGTTGCTAATTATACAATTGCAATAGATTTTTTTTTATTTTTAAAAAAATATATTTGAAATTTACGTGATTCCTAACGAAATAACAATAATTAATAATAGTAATGTAGCCTCGGCCGGAGTAAACCTACATTATTCATTAATGTTTTAACATTTACTCTGGGTACTCACACTGTTAGAGCAATCTCGGTACCCGGGATGAGTCAAAATATAACAACTCTGATTGGATGCTTTTGTATGTATGTATGGTTGGATTAGAACAAAAGAACCCAATCAGAATTAGGAAATTGTTTAAAAACGATGTAACATTTGCCAATGCATAATTAGCAATCAGCTGTAGTCGCTGTATTGTTTTATCCCTTATCGGCACAATATAATATATATATATATATATATATATATATATATATATATAAAATGAAAATATCTCAATTTTTTGTCCATATGGCTATTATATACTGTCTCTTATACACATCTAGATGTGTATAAGAGACAGATATTATTATGATGATGCATGTCTAGCTAACTTAGAGTGGATACTATTTGCTTATGGCACCATGCAAGCAATGTGTTTGGCAAAATTGACTTAAATATAATGACCTCTTATATATAATATATTTAATATTATTAAATAATGCTTAGGGTGACCTGTGGTTTTCATAATTCTTTAAAATATCTATTACAACATTGAGGAATAAAAAAGATTAAAATACATGAAACTCCCTTTAGATAACCTAACGTCTTATCAGGGAGTTGCTATGTAGTCCATATACCACCTGCCTGGCAAATATTGTGAAACAATATGGGGACACTTCATCAAACGCTCAAGAAACGTATAATGTGTAACTTATGCGACGCCACAGAGGGATGAATTTCCCCAGGTACCCAGTGTAATGTATTCCCACATTCCATTTTTAAAATAAAAATGACAACACATTATTGTCATCAATAAATATTTTTGTTTTAATATACCAAAAAAAGCGTTCAGTGATTAAAATACAATTTGAACGATTAGTATGATAATCTGTAACTGGATGGTTTGTATAAGTCCCTCCCCAAAACATGTTCTCTTCCAAGCATTTCTCCATTTCCGATTTCTTCAACCCGTGTGCCAAAAAATTGGCATACTGTACGTGTAAAGCGCAACGGCAATTGTACATGAAAAAAATTACGTAGGCTAATATAACGTACGCCGATAATTTCATGTATCCGCATAAAGTGAAACCTATTTGACGTAGGCATATTTCCTTCTTTTATTAGCAGCAAACTGCCTTTCCATAATCAGTGCATGCGCAAATATTATCTGGCTAGTTTAGCGTTAACAGTTCATTAATGTGTTGGAGACCGACTGCTCGTGCCAAATGGTGATGGAACTTGACGAAGCCAAGGCGTATTCCGACGATACCCGAACTGCCCGTTGTATCCAAAATTTGGTTTGGCATCCTCCATGAACTGCGCATGCCCATTCACTTGGTCTTTTGAATGACCAGCTATATTTACAAACAAAATATAATTAATGGTAATAAAAAAAACTCAGTGGTATTAAATAATACATAATACTAATGCTAATCTACATCGTCATCGTGATTATGATGAAGAAGATGATGAAGATGATGAAGTAGACAATGATGATGATGAAGATGGTGGTGATGATGATCATCATCATTATGGTAATGATAATGATAGCTCCGATCTACCATATTGTAAATGCTCAGAAATATTACTTTACCAACACTATCATCATCATCATCACCATTACATAGTCATCATCATCATCTTCATCATCATCATCATCATCATCATCCTCATCATCATCATCATCATCCTCATCATCATCATCATCATCATCATCATCATCTTCATCATCATCTTCATCATCATCATCATCATCATTATTAATATTATTCATTATTACTATTATTATTAGTCTATTATTAATTACATTATTATTATTATTATTATTATTATTATTATTATTACTATTATTATTATTATTATTTATATGATGATTTTGACGAACGATAGTGATTATGATGGTGATGTTCCTTCTATGAGGAATATGTTACTTTGATGGACTTGAGGTTTGTCTACACTATCAAATTTTATGTAACAAAAAATGTGATGTGCCCATATATGGGTACGATGACGTTATATCACATGTCATCAAATTGTATTAAAAAAAGTTAAACGTGTTAAACTATATGTTCCATCAAATTTTATGTGACGCTTTTTTGATGAAATTTGATAGTGTAGACAAAGCTATAGAATGATCTTAATATATACACACCTTTGGCAGCACTGGGGGCGTCGTTTCTTGCGTGCAAGTATTTGTAGCCGGCACCTGACTCCATGAACCTATCGATGACTGGGCCATCAATCGAGCAGCCGCCTTTGTTCTGAAAGAAAACGACAAGCAACACTTCATGGTAAAAACTTACTGAACACTGTATTCAGATTTCTTGTTTACTATTTGGCCTAAAATTAATTATGTCTGTTAATGGTCAATGGGGCTAAAAGAATTTTAAAAAATTTTCTTTTGGAGGTAATAAAGTTATTCTGATTCTGGGTATATTTATTGTTTGCGAGGCAAAATTATTGTCATTTGTTATTAAAAGATGTTTAAATAAACCCAATTTACCAGTAGACCCATATGGCTATTATATATGGGTGTAACGACAGACGCAGTGTCAGCGGGAGTGTCAGGCAGGGCTGTGTTTCTGTCAGAGAGTTGAGGGCAGGATGAAATTGTTTAGGCCTACCAGGTGTGGCGCCAGGGGGAGGTGGGCGGATCTCCCATCGGGAGAACTGAACCCTCGTCAGGTAAAACAAATAGCACCTGACACCGATCATCTGTAAAAAGTGGTACAACAGCACTGCATGAATGTTTTTGGAAGCAAACTGTAGCCTAAATATCAATGTTTGAGTGCGGTGTTAAATTAAAAATTCACTTTTGCCCTCCAACCGATTTTTATGCCCATTCCTGGATTAAAATAATCATTTGAATCAATCCATAAACTGTCGTACTTCTCGTGGGCTTCGCCCTGAAACAGTTGTGAGAGGTTTTGAGTGACACCTGACCACGTCCACTATACTCTCGTCGGGGACACGCCCCACCAGTCGGGCAAATCCTGGCGTCACCCCTATTGTTTACACAATTTGGACACGTACCTACGTTCAACGTTTGTCTTGCTCCTACCCAAGTATATCGGTAGAATGTTGTGGGGAGTGGTGGCGCCAGAAGGAGCTCGGAGGGATCCCCGTTAAACAATCAATACCTAACCCCTTTTCCTCCCCCACCCACGTCTGACTCCGCGATGAGAACTAAAAGAAATATTGATTTACAAATCCAAAGAAAAGTTATTGTTATTGCTAATCCTATTATTAGAGTACAGTTTTGGGCCATCTTAAACCATAACGCTCATAACGAACCACACCAAGGGACTCCTGAACCCGGAACAAGTTTTATGCCCCTTGCCTGCCTTGAACCACCTGTCGGATTTAAAATCCCATTCGATGACTTTATGGAGCCACCATTGGTTGCGGGACAGAGTTGTTAGTCTGCTTTGCAATGCATTTACACTGCAAATTTTTCCTGTTAGGAGCAAGGCAGAGTAAATTCAAATAAATTCAAGGTTTGTTTTCATACTTAAGCCTACAGTATGCCAAACAGAATGATCTAAAGAAAGTCTCCCCAAAACCATGGTAACGTGTACGTTTGCCTCTTTGTAGTGCGGATTACACTTTCTAAATCGTTAATAAAAAAAAAAACATTACACCTTATGATAACATTAACGTCACCAGTATTAAACTCGAATGGCTGCGACACACATACGCAAGATAGAATTGTTACGCTATATGAAGATAATTTACTTTATTATGACAAGACCAACGCGTAGTATGCTAATGATAATTACTGCATGAAAATTCAAAATAATAATAATACCACAACAAAGGCATCACACTAACATAATGTTATTGTTAGTAAAGTAGGCAGTGTACATTGTAATTAGATATACTTTATATATATATATATATATATCATTATATATACATTATATATACATTATATATATGTATATATATACGTGCACTCGGACTATATATATATATATATATATATATATATGTATGTATATATATGTATATATGTATATATGTATATGCATATATATGTATGTATATATGTATATATATATATAACAAAAGAATATAGGAAACGAATACCATGTATAGACTTCAGAAACACT